ACTATTGACTAATCACAAACTGTTCATTTCAACTATTTGCCCTTTGTTTTATGTGGTTGGTCATCTAAATCACACAGTATTGTTTCTGCTTCCTGTTTGGATGAGTGAAACTTTTTAAAAGAAGAATGACTAGTGCCTAGTGAATAATGAATCACAAATTTTCTGACATGACTTTTCAGACAAGCAGTCCTTCATACTAAATTGTCTGAAAGATTTAGGATTTGCACACAATTTCTAAAATACCCAGCAGTGCCTGAATATTCATGAAAAATGGAAACCATGAGCCCAAAAGTCATCACAAACCAAACTAAGCACTTTTATTTGCAAAAATATTTGTAAATCAATTGGTTTAGTATCAGCCGACTCTGTTCAAAACCTAGCTATCTTCTTCAAATTAAATAGTAGAAATCTTTATGTTTATCGAAGAAATGATATGCATCCACTCCTGTGAGTACCTGATCTATGCAGAGGACTTTACACACACCTGTTTATCAGTTGCTGAGTTCCCAAATGTCTGCCGAATACCAGTCTGCAAGATATTAGAGATTCCTTCCATACTGAATCGCTGCATAGAAGAGAAAACATTTGATTTACGCAGTGCTAGAAGAGCAGGCAGAGGTACTGCCTAGTGTGGCATGCAGTGTTTACAACATTTTAACATTTTATCATTTCTAATGAATGCCCTCACTAAAAGATCAGTTTTTTCTTCTCAGTAACAGAATGCTGTTCTTTGCAGCATAGTCTGAGAAGTGGCTAGGTTAGAACATTGTGGCTTTAGCACCATCCATCAACTCCTTGTGTCTCATCATCCAACTAATGTGTCATTTTACCTTCCCTTCTTTTTATGTTTATCGGTTTTTCAATGTCCTTCCTAAGAAGATGTGATTCCCTGGGCCAGAGAGAGAAAGGGATAGAAGGTGAGAACAACTTTGTAGACACACACAGGCAATTGAACCTGCATCTCCCACATCCCAGTTGAGTGCTCCAGCCCCTGGGCTCTAAGTAGGGTGACCAGACGTCCCAATTTTATCGGGACTGTCCCGATATTTGCTTGTTTGTCCCACGTCCTGACCGGATAAACAAACAATTTTGCCCTCCGCTCTCGCCCCCCCCCACCCCGACTCCACCCCCTCCTTCCCCCATTGGATCCCTCCCCAAATCCCCGCCCCCCAGCCCTGCCCCCTCACTGCCCCATTGGATCCCGAGCCGGGCCTGGGGAGGAGACACCCCTGTGCAGCAGCCTAGGCACACGGGCCATGGCTGGCCGGGGACCGGGGCCAGGAGCGCTGCAGTGCAGCGCGGAGGCTGCTCCAGCCCTGCAGCCCACGGGGCAGCGCATTGGGT